AAATCATTTAGAACTAACATGTTGGCCATCTGCACGGTCGTAATACACATGCTTATGTTTACAGTTCCACGTGTTCCGGTTTCCCTTGTCTTTGCCGGTAATAACATTCTACCTGCATCATTCGCCGCTGTACGGCTGCTGGTTTGTCTCAAGAGAGAGCCCTAAGGCACAACGGGATGAGCGAGTTACGTAAAAACGATCAGTGAGCGCCCTTTACCATTCTATATTCCCGAACGCAACCGACAGAACAACGAGCTCGTGACTCAGTGGGTTAGAGGCGTTGGACTTCTAACCAACAGGTCGCGGAATCGAACCCCACGTGTTTCACACTTTGGGGTTGGGTATGGCTGGCTGGCGACAGCTAATAAGCCAGAATTGGTCATTGCAATCCCCCTTTTCTTTGTCGACAATACTGTTTTGCCAATAAACAAGCTGTTCGGCATTCGATCCGTTTTCTTCTTTACTTATGAACACATATGAGACGCGAACTTTCGCCTTCAGATGCATCTGACTCCTTCGCTCTTTGTCGATCTAGATGCGAATTCACACTTTGTCTATTCGAGTTCTACTAGTTGGTCACATGTTTGCGAACTTTAAGACATTTACTAGGAAACTCGTTTGGAAACGGGAATGGTGAGCCATCCCGTACTACCTGTGACCTTGCTCTAAAGTTTACAGGGGGTTAAGTTAGGGTCAGCGTTAATGTCGTGGTTAGGTTTAGTCTTAGAGCTTGGATTAACGTTAGGGCACTGGGATATGAATCCTCGGGAGTTAGCGCGAGAACAATCGTAGTACGGAGCGGGGTTCATACTTCCATGTCCGACCAGAAACTTTTTTTCTGGACAGTCAAAACGATCTTTGTACACATATTGCTGTGCGAATTAGATAAGCTAAGGGTTGAAAATTCATGAGCTGCAGTTTGCTGATGACCTTTCACATGCGCAATCCCATTTAGAGGCGATTTCGAAGCTACTTAGCGGGAAAAGTAGTTATAACTAAGTTTTTGCATGGCAGCTTGCTGATTTTCGTATACACATTTATTCAGTCACTGGTACAAATCCTACTCGGACAAAATCACTACCTCAGTAGTGAGTGTATTCACGGTTAGTATACATGAAATTGTATTTGATAGGAAGAATCCAATCGTTTGTCGTTTGGTGGAAAACTGCCGTTTCTTTAAATTATTTTTTTGCTTTTTGAATCGGTAATTTGTTTTTTTATTTGCTGTATGCCATTATCAATACACCCGCTCCGTCCGAAGGCCTGAAAATTACTTCCTTTCTATTCTCATCCAAAAAATTTACGACACGACTTTGTTAGAAGTATATACCGCATTGGTAACATCGTTTGCGGTAGTATACATAGATTCATAAGTAAATCGAAAAGGAGAGGAAGCCAAGATTGCGTGTAGGGCAATCCTTTCAATGAGCCTCGGGAAAGCAGGCAGTGGGAAGCTGGGAATTAGACTTAATGCTAATGGACTTTCTGGGGACCGGAACAGCACTAGGACTGATTAAGCGTCAGGTATCCAAGACTAGGAAAAATAACCACTATCGAGACACTTTGAGAAGGACGCAAGCCGAATAGACCATAACTTGAGTAAAAACGTCAATGGCTGTTTAAATAGGGTTCTTGGAGAAAATATTTCCGAAATGATGGCATTATTGCTAACTAGAATGCACTGGTGCCATTAGTAAGTCAGTTTAAAATTGTTTGGGCTCTGGGGATAAAAAGATGAAATTTGACCTTACTATGTCTGCCACGGCAGGGGAGGGCAAGGTTCGCTGTGTGGTAAGACGCTTCTAACCCTTTTATGTCTAGGCGGAGAAAGAGTGAGGAGGAAATGTAGAGGCGACAAACGACTACTAAAAGAAAAATACACTCCATGCGCACGGCTCCTTCCCAAGTAAGCGGCTAATTTCTCTCAGATTAAAATTGCCTTCCGGTGCAAGTTCTCTACAATGTGTTGACAACCTAAGCGATCACATGGTAAGTAAATCGATTGACAAGAATGATTACAATTAAATGCATATCAAGATTACCGACATAATCGATATTAACACAAGCGATAGTGATGTAAAATGATGCTTTTCATTACCAGTCATCGTGTGGTCCCACTTTGAGCATCGGTCTATGTAGCAACGTATACCTAGATTTTAGAGTCCCTATTACTTGGAGTGATGGAAGCCTGATTAATTACCTGTATTTTTAATATAAAGGCCCGAGGGATTAAGCAGTTCAGGATCGAGTCTAGGGTGCAATCAGTTATTAAAGGGATCTGGATATCCGAAGCCTGCCAGCATCACAGTACGTAAGTTGACGTAACAGAAGTCGTGATCTAAGAGAACACTCTCCTGAGATATGGAAAGCAGTGTTTGCGATAAACCACGGAAAGACACGGATGAGGGCGTCGCCAGTTGTCGGGACATATGGCTGCAGACACTAACGGGGAACATTACGGAATGCTGTTAGCATTAGGATCATGCATATGGTGGCAGTGGGGGGTCAGTAGAAACTTTGAAGTGGTGCTCGACAGGTTGCAAGCTAATAAACTGTCAAAGATGACCTGATACAAATGATACCATGTGTGAGCGATTTTGCAGGCTGTAAACTAAACTCCACCGTCTCCCACCTATCGTCATTCCGCTAAGCCGCCATAATACATGACAGCTAGCCCGTCTATCAGTCCCAACTGCGTCCAATCCCCTCCCCCCTCCTCTTAACCCCCTCCTACCTTCTTCCATCAGTTAGGTTTGTCTGCGCCGCACACAGACAGCAGGAGAGATCA